CACTATAGCACTGTCCTCCCGTTGTTCATCGATTTTCTCAACAGAAGTACTTATAATAAAGTTGTTCTCTCTACAAAAATTCCATCTTTGTTTTGATGATGTAATGGGATACTTGTTTTGACAAGAGTATTGAATGTGAAGCTGAAGGCCAAGAACCAGAAATAAGGCTTTAAACAAGGCCATGGATATGGCAGACACTATGGACAATTTATATCATGCAAATAAGCTTAAAACATGGTTGAGAGTCAAATATTCTTTGAAGAGTTCTATTTTTAAACATTTATGTGATATGACTATAAAGTCATATACAATGACAGGAAATAAAACAGACATAGAGCATATATTTTACCTACTTTCACCCAGTGTTAGTATCTAAGAATACTTAGAATATCATACTTAGGAAAAGAATACAGTCAAGATACAGAACAATTTTTTCACAAAGATCCTTCATGTTATTATTTTGTGAGTGTTCAATGCTAATAAGTAGATATAAAATTGTCATCCAGCAGGCTGGAGCGATAGTACAGTGGGTAGGGTGTTTGCCTTGCATGTGGCTGACCCAGCTTCAATTCCCAGCATCCCATATGGTCCCCTGAGCATCGCCAGGAGTAATTCCTGAGTGCAAAGCCAGGAGTAACCCTGTACATTGCCAGGTGTGACCCAAAAAGCAAAAAAATAAAAAATGGCATCCATTTGCTGATTTTGTATTCTGAAACCTAGTTTAACTCATTGGTTAAGGCATGCTCTTTATATGCTCTACAAGTTTTACAATGATAATCAAGCTATATTCCTAATAAGTGATGTTGTACATTTTTAAGTCTATGGGCAACTGGTACGTCTTCTTTGGAGACATGTACCCATTGTGTTTATCATAAGACCTAAGAAGCATCAAATATCTGGGAAATATTAAAGAACCATTTGTCTTGTTGGCTAAGTATTGTTGGGAATGGTCTTTGGGTCTCAGAATACTGTTAGAAGCCCTCTCCCAACCATCCAAAAAAGCAAACTCCACTGGGATTTTGGTAGGGACTGTATGGAATCTAAAATTTATTTAGATGAGAATTTTAACAATAAGTCTTCCAACTCATGAGCATGATATATATTTCTGCTTTTGTGTGCGTATGTGTGTGCCCAAAGAGAGACAGAGAGAGAGAGACATCTGTTACTTTTAATAAGGTCCTGTAGCTTTCCATGCTTATGTCTTTAACCACCATTATTCAACTGTACTCCCTGGAATTTCTTATTTCATATAATTGTAAATGTGACTGCTTCCTTAATTTGACTGTCTTTTAATTCATTATATAAAAATATTTTATATTAATTTTATTCTATTTTCCTTTATTTATTTATAATTTAAAATAATTTTGGAGTCTTTAATATTTCCTGTGTATTATTGTCATCAGAAAATATCTATAATGATACTTCTTTTATAACATTTTCCTTAATGTCTTTTCTTGCTTTATTACAGTGGCTAGGACTTTTAGTACTATGTTCAATAATGCTGGTGATTGAGAACACTTGTTTCTGATCTTAAATGAAAAACTTTCAGTTTTTCAATTAGTGTGATTTTAGCTGTAATCTCATCATACTGGCCTTATTCGGTTGAAACTTACTCTTTCTTTCCCAATTTATAATGTTTTCTATCATAAATCAATGTTGAATCTTCTCAATTGCATTTTCAGGAAATACTGATATAAGATTTATCTTTCCCTTTATAGATGTGGCATATTACATTAATTTAACTTTCATGTATTGAAACTTCCTTGCATCCCTAGAATGAAATCCCACCACTTCACAGCTTATGCTCTTTAGGTGTACAGCTGGATTTCATTTGCTAAGTTGTTATGAAGTATTTTTACATTCATTTCTGTCACCAATAGCATGCTCTCCCTCCATCCCTCCCTCTCTGTTCCTCCTTCTCTCTGTCTGTTCCTCCTTCTCTCTCTCTCTCTCTCTCTCTCTCTCTCTCTCTCTCTCTCTCTCTCTCTCCCCCCCCCCCCCCCCAGCCTTTTCTCTGTCTCTCCTGTTTGCTTGCTAAATTTCTCTCATTTCAGAATCAGGATAAGATAGGCCTGGTACTTCTGAGGATATATCCCCCAGATGCTGTCACTGTCACTGTTCTCCCGTTGTTCATTGATTTTCTTGAGCAGGCTCAGTAATGTCTCCATTGTGAGACTTTCTTGTTACTGTGTTTGGTATATCAAATACGGCATGGGTAGCTTGCCAGGCTTTGCCGTGCAGGCGAGTTACTCTTGGTAGTTTGCCGGGCTCTCCGAGAGGGGCAGAGGAAACAAACTTGGGTCGGCCATGTTGGCTGTGTGCAAGGCAAAAGCCCTACCCGCTGTGCTATCGCTCCAGCCCATCACTCTATTTAAAGAACAGAATCTGAAAGAACACTGTCAGAGACCAGGGAGGTGGCTTAGAGAGCTGAAATGCAAGCTTTGCAGGCAGGAGCCCCTGGCTCAGTACGCATCACCAGAAAGGACCAGAACTAAGGGAGACAGTGCAAGAGCAGCCCTGGGCACAGCCTAAAATCAATAAGATAGTTTGGGATGGAGCTGTAGTACAGCGGGAAGAGCACTTGCCTTGTATGGCAGCCAACCCAAGTTCCACCCACAGTACCCGTATGTGGTCCCGTGAGTACACCAGGAGTGATCTCTTAATGCAGAACCAGGAGTAAACCCTGCACACTGTTGAGTCCAGCCCAAATCAAACCCCCAATCCCAATATATAAAAGATGGGCTTGGTAAAATGTGCTAGGGAGAGGTACCCTTTCCTTCAATATTTTGGAAGAATTTAGCAAGGATAGAAATTATATTTCTGTGAAAGTTTTCTAAAATAATTACTAAAACCTCTAGTATTAAGCATTTGTTGTTAAGAGGTTTTTTTGATTAATCTTGATTTCTGTGCTTCTGCCTTGTCTGTTCAAGTTTTTTCTTCTTGAATAAGTTATAGGAGATTATATGATTACAAGTCTCCATTTCTTCAAACCTGATTGCTTTGTACACAGATGTTCACCATAGTCGTTTAGGATCTTTTTGTTTCTATATTATATTTTCCATATGCTATTTTTTAATACCAAGATTTTCTTTCTTTTTTTTTCTTCTCAGTGGAACTAGATACAGGTTAATTTCTTTTGCTTATCCTTTAGGAGAACAAGTTCTTATTTCTTTTGATCGTTTGTGTCAACCAGGTATGAGGTGAGATTGCTTTTGCAAATTTTTTTTGTTTTTGTTTTCAGATTGGACCTCTAATGTTATGAAGTTTTCTCTTAATAGTGCTTTTGCTGCTAGGTAGCTGGATCTCAAGATAACTTTTCTTTCTTTTTTGGGAGAGAATCAGCTCTTCATTTCTTCAAATATTTCCTACTTTTATTTCCAACTTTACGGATTTCTATTTTGAATAATTTCCTTTGTTTTGTTTGTTTCATGTTTACTTTGCTTTCCTTACTCAAATTCTTGAGATGAATTACTAGAGAGATGATTTGAGACTTTTATTTCTTAAAATGTATTGATTCAGTGCTATAAATGTTTGCTTCTTAAGACTGTCTTACCCTTATTACACAATTTTGAAAGGAGGGCTTATTTTTGGACTTTGGGTGACACCAGGCAGTGCTCAGCGCTTAGGGATCATACTTGATGAGGCTCGGCAGCCATATGTGGTGCCGGGAATAGAACCAAGATTGGCCACATTCAAGGCAAGCATGCTAGATGCTGTGCTATCTCTCTGACCCCTGTTACACAATTTTGGATAGGTTGTACTATTTTATTAGTGATATGTTTATATTTTTATACTATTCTGTTTAAAAATTCCTCTTTTGTTGTTTATTCAGAAGTGCATCGATTATTGTTTGAAGATCTTCCTATTAACTTTGTTTATTTGATGTTCTGAATCTAATCTTGAACCAAATAGAGAACAATCTATTTAATTTCTATTAGTTAAAATCTGTTGAATTTATTTCTAGCCCAGGACTTACTCTATCTTAGTATATAATCTTAATACATAAAATAAAAACATAAAAACATCTTAGGTATTATTTCTTTGGGTATAAATTTCTATATATGACAAATTCTGTTGGTTGAGAATAAGAAAATATTATGTTTTGTATCTTTTATAGCGTTCTATTCACTGTTCTGTAAACTACTAATAGAATCATGTTGAAGTCCGTAATTGTGGGCTTTTCTATTTCTCCTTTCATTTCTGTAAGACTTTGCTTAATATATTTTGCAGATTTACTTGATACAATATATTTATAACTATTACATTTTATACTTTAAAGTTTGGCCCTTTTTATTATGCACTGTCCATATGTATATATAGAAATCTTGTTATTACTGAATTATATTAGTCCATGTCTCAAAATTTAAATCAGCTATGGGTCTGGTCAGTTTCTAGATATTTCTTACACACAGAATGATCATGAGAAATAAAGACAAAGACTTATACCTTTGAAATCCACACCATCCAGACCCAAAAAAGCTATTATTCTTGATAAATACCTTCATTTCTGTAGCACTGTAGCACTGTCCTCCCGTTGTTCATCGATTTGCTCAAGCAGGCCCAGTAATGTCTCCATTTTGAGACTTCTTGTTACTGTGTTTGGCATATCGAATACATCACAGGTAGCTTGCCAGGCTTTGCCATGAAGACGAGATACTCTCGGTAGCTTGCTAGGCTCTCCAAGAGGGGTGGAGTAATCGAACCTGGCTCGGCTGGGCTGGCTGCGTGCAAGGCAAACGCCTTACTGCTGTGCTATCGCTCCAGCCATTAGTGTCATCTTGCTAATAACTTGCAGAAATTTTTTAGTGAGAACCTTGTTGGTACGTGCTTTGAGAATATAAATTTTCCTAGATTTATTCAACACATCTTCCTATTCTTTCTCTTTAAAAAATATCTTAACCATAAAATTTTTCCTTCTCCTTCCAATTTTTTTCTATTCCTTGTTCGAAAGGTTTCAGTAACATAAATACTGCTGTGCGATGTCAAATTTATTTTATTACCTCATATAAAACGGTTGTGTTCCCATGTATAAGAGGTCCATAACAGATATAGGAATGCCCAACAACCCAGCCTAAGTCAGAAGCTGCCCACCAAACCTGAAAAATAAGAAGATAACAAAATGTGTATGTATACATTATACATGTATAATAAATGCCATCTAATATGAATATAAAACCATGATTACCTCTCCAGGCTTAAGTCCATATACAGATGACATTGTCCAGTTTAACATTACAGCATATCCTCCAGTGGGTCTAACCACACCCTACACGAAAGAAAAAGTGAAATTAAATTCAAAATCCATATATCAATAGATCTTATGCCTTTATCTAATTCGCTTAAAACTTTTCTTGTTGAATGTCTTTTATACTGTAACTAGCTGAAAATTACTTGTTTCCACATAACTGTACATGGGCCATTATTTCTTTTTCTTCTCTAATATAAATGCAGAATAATTTATCCCCATCATCTCATTTGTAGATTCAATTTTACACTTTATTCATTCTCTGAAGTACAGTCATGATCATGCAAAATCATGTGTGATTAATTTTTCCAAGGTTGACATATTATCACATTGTAATTTCATTTGTATTTCAAAAACAAGAATGGACTTTCAAACTTAGCTACATGCCTAAAGTACATACTCACATAAGATATTCCTTGAAATGATTAAACAACAGGATTTAAAGAGGAAATAAAGTCACATTCCAACTTGATCTGATTATACTATTCTGGAGATCATGCTAACATGGTGAGAAAGATGATAAGTTTATCAATTCCTTCATGAATACTGGACTTCTAAGAAGTTAATACCAATTAGTTGAATTTGATACTGATAGAGTTGCCTTAAGTTACATTTTGGGAAAAATAGAAATATTTATATCACAGTCAAAACATTTTATATCATTTTCTAATATTTATTTTCAACTTTTGACTATATTCAACTTTAATGCTTTGAAACTTTTAGTCACTGTAAACAAAGCCTAAAAACAAATTTAGTCTTTGGTTTCACTTATTTTTTAAACATTAACTGTCTTAGTCTTGAAAGTTTAACCAAGTGAAAAGTCAGGATGAACAGGTGAATGCCAACTATTAGAAACAAGTTTTCTATTTTACTGTCACTATTCTATTCAGAAAATGCTCTGTTTGGGTATTAATAATTTTTAGTATAAAGACAGGAAAAACTTTTAGGCATAACTCTGCAGCTTTCATTCACATATTACATCCAGGGAATGAAAAATAAATCAGTGTTGTTGGCTACTAAAATTGTTACTCTCCTCAGGTCAGTCACTGTCTTCCCATTGTTCATCGATTTGCTCGAGCAGGCCCAGTAACATTGTGAGACTTGTTACTGTGTTTGGCATATCAAATATGTCACGGGTAGCTTGCCAGGCTTTCCCGTGTGGGCGAGATACTCTCGCTAGCTTACTGGGCTCTCCGCGAAGGGTGGAGGAATTGAACTCAGGTCGACCATGTTGGCTGCATGCAAGGCAAATGCCCTACCTGCTGTGCTATTGCTCCTGCCTTCTCCTCAGGTACCACTAATAAAACACAGGTATCAAGCTGTGAAACACATTTGATCTACCAGCAGCAACACCTGGTCTCTTGGCATATCACATGCAGTTCTGTTGGCATTCGACAGCTCCTTTCAAAGTTGTATGACATACTTAGCATGCTTCTGGCTCTTTTGATCACCATGGGAGTAGCAGAAATTCTATGTCCCCTGCCAGTGTCTCATACGTTATTTTACCATGTAAACTGAAAAAATCTTGTCCTAATATATTCTGTAATATTTTCTGTGCACTTTGCTAATTAGTTTGTTCCACTGAGAAGGTTTTTCTCATGGGTCAGTAATTTGATGAATTTGATTCTAATCAACCTGCAGAATTTTGTAAGAGAGAAAATTGAAAGTATTTTCATAGGAATTATGTTATCATATTATACAGTGGTGATATCGATTATTTCCCTTAATGTATTTTAGAACTTTCTCTTCACCAACCTTTCACTGTGAAGAGAGCTCATGTTTGTAGCTCAGTATAAATATTATTACAACAGGGTAAGATTTTAGATTTTACAAAACTGAGGGAAATGATTCCAATGAAGCACTAAAGAGGAATAAAAAGGTAGGAAGAAAAGAAATGAGTGAAAATTAGTTGTAAAATTAAAAAGATAATTTAAAGAACTGGCTATCAATGTTTTATTTGCCTTCCAAGTAGATAATTCTTTAATAGATGTCGGTCAGTATTGTTTGTCTCTAATGTAGTGGATAATTGGGCCAGAGGGATAGCTCAATGAGCTGGGGCTCCGACCTTGCACTACAAGGTGGAAGGTTGAGGCTGGCATTACACAAACCCTGGATTACAAGCCAAGAGCGGCTCCTGAGCACTGTAGGATATGGCCCCCAAACCCAGAAAAATAAATGAAACATTTTAAACTGGTGGATAATTTGATACATTTGACAAAACTCAAAAAACCCTCTACATTTAAATATAAAGCCATTCAGTAAAAATTAAATTATAATGATTAAAATGTAATGTCTTATTAAAAATAATATTCTATGTTTTAGCAATCAGAGTTTTTTAATTTCCATGATGCAATATCACCCAAAAGATTGAAATGTCAAAATAATTTTGTGTTGACATTAAAACTCTTATTAAAAACAATTAAAATTGAACTATAAAAGAAAGAAAATCCAAAATGACTCATTCCTCTTTGATCAACTTAGTTTTAATTTTGTGAATATTAGTAAAATATTTCCACCAAGCATTTTTTTACCATTTATTATCTAGACTCCTGAACTGAAATTTATCCTTGCTGCAAAAAACTTAGATAACTCCATACAATTTTATTAGGATTTGATATGGTGTAGAGTACTAATCAGGTTATACAGGCAGATCTTTTTTACGGAGTTTGTAAGCATGAATGTTTAAATATTAGAATTAAAGATATTTTCATTATTAAATCAATTTGCAACTCAAAATAGTGTAGCAAGACATTTTTGTGTATAATTATTTGTGAACAATCAAATTTTCCATAAAAAATAAAATCTCAAGGTCGAACTAGGCTTCCAAAATGAAGAAGGACAAACATGACTATCTATACTTTCAATGCACTTATGATGGCATCGGATGCAGCCATCAAGGTCCTGATAGTGCAAGCGCAAAAGATCAAGTACGACATCATTGGCCTGACCAAGACGAAAAGGCATCATTCACATCACACCATTTTCGACACTGGAGAACTGTTCCTCGGAACATGCGACAAACGAGGCATCGGTGGTTCCGGTGTCCTTGTCAACATGAAGTTGGCCATGAGCACTGATTCATTCGAATGCCTAACAACCTGAATCAGATGATTACACTTGAATACATTTGGCTCACTACCGGCAGTTTTTATCTTCATTGTCTACGCACCAACATCCAATTATGATAAAGGAGAAATTGAGAAGTTCTACATGGAACTGGAGAAGTTCTATAAAGAAGACCACACCTTCTACATTGTCGGTGATTTTAATGCCAAGATAGCACCGAGAAGATCAGCCGAAGAACTCCACATAGGGACCCATGGCCTAGAATGGAATGAACTGGATGAGAGACTGTCTGATTTCATCATGTCGACCAAGATCATCCATGGTAACTCACAGTTCCAGTAGGCCAAATCTAAACATTGGATACAAGTCTTCTGGCAGACGTTTCCACAACTAAATTGACCATATCATATTCAGTCTACGGTTTTGCCTGACTGATGTCACTGTTGTCACAAAATTCCAAACGGGATCGAACCACTATCTCCTTCATGCAAAATTCTACTTCACGGAGCGAGGAGAAAGGGCTGCAAAGTTTAAAATGAAAACTCCCAGAACGACCACCAACTGGGAGCAATTTGGCACTATTGTGGCAACATGGGAAGATGCTGTCATTGACAACATTGACCAAGAATCCGATTGACTGCTTTAGCACCTCCATGATTGTGCAGGAAATGCTGAGAGAGAGATAGCCACAAAAAGATGCCTATCTCCAAAAACTCTTGAGCTCATTCGCCAACATGGCTTGGCACAAGCCTCAGGCAACTGCAAGTGAATGTCCGAGCTCGCAAAGCAGTGCAGAGAAGTGATAAAGGAAGACCTCAAAGAGAGAAGAGCAGCAGTGCTGGCCTATGTGGCAGAAGCTGGTAAAATCATTCGCAGTGCCTGCCAATCGCTCATCAACTACAAGACCAAGATGACTGTCATCCAACATCCTGATGTATCTATCACATCCTCCAGAAGGACAATGGAGAAGATTATCTATGACTTTTACTCAGAACTCTTCGATAGCCACGTCCACCTGCCCACATACTAAATTACACAGGATGAATATGGTGTTCCCAATGTTCTCCCTTCCAAAATCCGACACACCATTTCGTCGGTAAAGAAGCAAACAGCACCGACCCAGACAAGGTCAGACCCGAACACCTGAAGAACCTGCTGTCAGTTCTCAATACAATGGCTTGGCTCTTCACACGCAACCTGTCTGGATGCAAGGTTCTGTCCCAATGGAAAACCAGCAGGACTGTACTACTGTACAAGAAGGGAGACATCCACAACATTGGTAACTATCACCCAATCTGCCTGTTTTCTGTTGTCTACAAACTGTTCACTCGAGTCATCCTGAGTAGGATTAGCAGAACTCTAGATGAAGGACAACCATGCGAGCAAGTTGTGTTCCGCAAAGAATTCAGTACCATCGACCATATCCACACGATAACCAAGCTCACTGAGGTTTCTTGGGAGTTCAAGATACCGCTCTGTCTAACATTCATTGAATTAAAGAAGGTCTTTGATTCTGTTGAGACTGAAGTGGTCATCAAAGCCCTAGTCAAACAGGGCATTCAAACTCAGGACCTGAGTATCCTCAGTAAGCCGTATTATGGATTTATTTCCAGGATCTCACCATTCTACAAGGAAGTGATCATCCATGTCAAGAGAGGGGTTCAACAGAGTGATACCATTTCACCAAAATTCTTCAGTGCCACCCTCAAGAACATCATGCGATTACTGGAATGGGAAGGAATGGCAGTGAAGATAGATGGTCGGCAACTATTCCACCTCTGCTTCACTGATGACATCCTTCTAATAACACCAAACATTAGCCAAGCGGCAGAAATGTTGGCCAACTTCGACCATGAGTGCAGAAAGGTCAGACTACAGCTGAATCTCACAATGACAAAGTTTATGATAAACAGTCTCGTTCCTGACTTTCCATTCACTCTCAATGGAATGAACAT